CTGACGGCGGGTGCGGTGTGCCCCTAGGAATCGTCGTATTCGTTCGCGCTCAAGTGTTTGATCAGCCTCTCGACGCTGATCCTGCTGGGGCTCATCGTGATGTACCACGCCAGGGAGATCCAGGTGGGGCGAGAAACGGAAAGGTGGAATGGAAACGCAGCGAGGAGGGCGTCGTGTGCGGTGGCTGGGCGCGGGGAAGGCGGAGCGGGGAGTGGAAAGAGAAAAGCGCTTTGGGTTCTTGGGAAGGAATGGGTTTGTCTTGAAAAGAAATGGGTTTGTCTTGAAAATAAATCAGTTTTCTTGAAAAGAAATTGGTTTATCTTGAAAAGAAATGGGTTTTCTTGACAAGAAATCGGTTTATCTTGAAATGAAATCAGTTTTCTTGAAAAGAAATTGGTTTATCTTGAAATGAAATTGGTTTTCTTGAAAATAAATCGGTTTTCTTGACAAGAAATCGGTTTATCTTGAAATGAAATCAGTTTTCTTGAAAAGAAACTGGTTTATCTTGAAAATAAATCGGTTTTCTTGAAAAGAAATCGGTTTATCTTTAAAAGAAATCAGTTTTCTTGACAAGAAATTGGTTTATCTTGAAATTAAATTGGTTTTCTTGAAAATAAATCGGTTTTCTTGACAAGAAGTCGGTTTATCCTGAAAATAAATCAGTTTTCTTGAAAATAAATTGGTTTTCTTGAAAATAAATTGGTTTTCTTGACAAGAAATCGGTTTATCTTGACAAGAAGTTGGTTTATCCTGAAAAGAAATCAGTTTTCTTGAAAAGAAACCGGTTTATCCTGAAAAGCAATCGGTTTATCTTGAGAAGAAATGGGTTTTGTGCTGAAAGAACTCGTTAAAGAGGCAGGGAGAAAAGAGGAATAAAAAAGTCGTGGAATGGAAGAAAAAACTTTCGTGTGAAATAATAGTAATAATAGTAATAGTAATAATAGTAATAGTAATAATTGTAATAATAATAATAGTAGTAGTAATGATTTTTAATAATATAATATAATATAATATAATATAATATAATATAATATAATATAATATAATATAATATAATATATTATAATATAATATAATATAATATAATATAATATAATATAATATAATATAATATAATATAATATAATATAATATAATATAGAATATGTATAGTATATATAATATTATATATAATTATATATTATATAACACATACAATTATATATAATATAAATTATACAATATACATTATATATATTATTATATTACATACAATAATATACATAATTATGTATATAGATATGAGTTTTATAAATACACGAATAAATACATTTAATTTTAATTCATTATTTTTATTTATTAATTTAATAAACATTTCATTCATCCCATTTAACTTTTAATTCACTAATTTTTATTTATTAATTTAATAAAGATTTTCATTCAACCCATTTAATTTTAATTCGTTATTTTTTATTTATTAATTTAATGAACATTTCATTTAACCAAATCAACCCATTTAACTTTAATTCACTATTATATTTATTAATTTAATAAACATTTAATTTAACCATTTCAACTAAATTAACTTTAATTCCCTATTCTATTTATTAATTTAATAAAAATTTTATTTAACCAAATCAACCCATTTAACTTTAAATCACTAATTTTTATTTATCAACTTAATAAAAAATTCCAATTAACCAAACCAATTTATTAATTTTTATTTATCGACTTAATAAAAAAATTCCAGTTAACCAAACCAACCCATTTAACTCTAATTTACTATTATATTTATTAATTTAATAAGCATTTCATTCAACCAAACCAACCCATTTAACTTTAATTCACTGATTTATATTTATTAATTTAATAAAAAATTTCACTTAACCAAACCAACCCATTTAATTTATTAATTTTTATTTACCAACTTAATAAAAAATTCCAATTAACCAAACCAACCCATTTAATTTATTAATTTTTATTTACCAACTTAATAAAAAATTCCAATTAACCAAACCAACCCATTTAACTCTAATTTACTATTATATTTATTAATTTAATAAGCATTTCATTCAACCAAACCAACCCATTTAACTTTAATTCACTAATTTATATTTATTAATTTAATAAAAAATTCCAATTAACCAAACCAACCCATTTAATTTATTAATTTTTATTTACCAACTTAATAAAAAAACCAACCCATTTAATTTATTAATTTTTATTTACCAACTTCATAAAAAATTCCAATTAACCAAACCAACCCATTTATTATATTAATTTTTATTTACCAGCTTAATAAAAAATTCCAATTAACCAAACCAACCCATTTAACTCTAATTCACTGATTTATATTTATTAATTTAATAAAAAAAACTCCAATTAACCAACCAATCAATTTCCACCCCACCCCTACCCCCAGCTCTTCATGGTGGACAACGGCGCCGACGACTGGCGCATCGCCATGACCTACGAGCGCATCTTCTTCATCTCCCTGGAGCTGCTGGTGTGCGCCATCCACCCCATCCCCGGCCAGTACCTGTTCACCTGGACCGCCCGCCTGGCCTTCACCTACGCCGCCTCGGTGGCCCACGCCGACGTGGACATCATCCTGTCCATCCCCATGTTCCTGCGCCTCTACCTGATCGGCCGCGTCATGCTGCTGCACAGCAAGCTCTTCACCGACGCCTCCTCGCGCAGCATCGGCGCCCTCAACAAGATCAACTTCAACACCCGCTTCGTCATGAAGACGCTCATGACCATCTGTCCCGGCACCGTGCTGCTGGTCTTCAGCATCTCCTCGTGGATCATCGCCGCCTGGACCGTGCGCGTCTGCGAGAGGTGCGGGGAGGGGTCCTCCGGTGGGGGTCGCTGGTGGGGATGGGGATGGGGGGCTGGGGATGG